GGGCAAGGCGGCCGCCCCCGGCACCGCGGTCCTGCTGGTCACGGCCAACGTGGGCTCGCTCTTCGACGACGTAAGTGCCGCGCCGTCGGCTAGGGAGGGGCGGCTGCGGGCCAGGAGTCTCCCAGCCCCGGACCCTGACATCCCCATTTCCAGCTGGAGACCCTAAATTCCGGCCCCTACAGCGCCTTCTACAGCCGCGGACTCCGGGCCAGTTGTCTTTTGGACGTGTGACTCTGATGCCCCCCTACCCACAGCTGGGGACACCGATCAGGGATCCTCCAGGCCCCAGACCCTGACCCCATAGTGGTGGACCCTAGGCCAGGAAACTTCCAGCACACGCCCCAGACCTTGACACCGCTTTTCTGATTCCCGAGGCCAAACTCGAAGACCCAGCTTTTGAACCCCTGTCTTAACGCAGACTACAGGAACCCAGCCTAAGTCTGGATCTTTGAATCCTGATGCTGGTACCTTGCTATGATCTCGAGACAGCAAATCTCTATCCCTTTTCTGCTCTCGAACTCCAGAGCCACAAGTACTGACCTGGAATTTTGACCCAGAATCCTGGTACTTGGATGCCCTGGCCTCTAAACCTAACCACATGCTGACCCCAGGTCTCCTGATTCAGTCCTGACCCCCCAGTCTCTGACTCTGATTTCCAAAGTCTGAATTCTGACTCCAGAAACCCAGCATTTGGTTCCTTCTCCCCTCAACCCAGACCACAGTGACTCTGAACTCTGAGTCCCTACCCTAAAACCTCAGATCCTACACCTATCCATGGCCTCGGAGCATGAACCCTGGCCTCTAATTCTGCTCCCCAACCCTATCCGTGGAGCCTTCCTCACGAAGTCACAATAGACCTCACCCCCAAACCTTGAGCTCCATCATTTGAGTCCTGGTCCCTAGATCCCATCCCTAGGTCCTGTCTCCTGGGGGTGGGGGGAGTCCTGAGATGTGAAGCACCCTTATTTTGCCGTGTTACTTGTAATCGCACTAGCTCTCAAATGAGGCAGTTCTAGTCAAGCCATGGAGGACTTTCTATTCCTTGTTTACTAAATGAAAAGGTGCTGAAAAGCTCTTCAAGGCCAAAAACGATGCCAAGGGCCTTTATCTTCTGGGACTGCGCCTCCAGTCCTCAGTCCCACCCTGGAACCCTGGGTTTTCTCCTCTGGGAGGCAGAAGGGAGCTGAGGCCTGGGGCACTGGGAGCTCCCTAGAGCAGGCTGAGGCTGACCTAGTTCAGCATTGCAGCCACGGTGCCACCCTGCTGTTGGTACTTAAACTGCCAACCCAAATAAAGCAGAATGCGGCTCCAAGTGGCATGCTTGTTTAAGAAGAAAGGGTAGTGTCACAGATGGAACTATGAAGCCACATACTCCCCTTTCTCTCTCCCTCCCCTTGCCTAGGTGAACAGTTGGGGCAATGCCAGGCCTTGGATACAGGCCTGATGTAGATTTCAGGGGAGGGTCTTGTTTCGTTCCTGGCAGCAAGCATGGGAGAGGAGTTTCGTTGAGCTGAGTTCTCAGACAGCGTAGACTTGGTTTTTATTAGTAAAAGGCAGGCGTTATTGCTGTATTTTGTGATTTTACTTATAAACATGTGAGTGTTCTAGTTCCCTGCAGGAGAGGCACTGTTTACCCTCTTAAGTTATAGACAACTTGATGTAGTTTCACGTGTGATCATTTTCTACAAGGGCCTGTATGGGTGTGTGCCCATATATTTAGCATTCTATTCTAGGCCTTCCAGTAACATGTCACTGTAGCGTGGTTTTGTTCAGATGATTCAGATCCGTTAGCTGTGGCTTCAAAGCCTCAGAAATGTCAGGAAAATTAGGCATGGTGGGGCACTTTCATCTCCAAGGGAAAATAATTTTGCTATGAAAACATTCTTTCTAGTAATTTTTGATTCTGAGTTCTAGAGTTTTTATTGTGTTTCAATCATATACATACATATATACATACATACTTCTCTCTGATGATATTAAAGAGGGTTCTTTTTGGAACAGGAGCTCATCTTGTAGTCCTGGCTGGCCTGGAACTCACTGTGTAGACCAGGCAGACAGAGATCCACCTGCCTCTGCTGGGATTAAAGATGGTATACCACCAAGCCTGGCTCAACTCACTTTCGTTTAGCAACATGTTTTCTGAATTTTTATTTTTTCCTTAAGGCTCTCTGGAGTTTTGTACTGCATTTGTAGCTAGAAGGTGTATTTGTCTTGGTGAATTGTACCTAAGTTAATTCTGAACCAGTCTCCAGGGGCAGTCATACCCTCAATGGAATGACCAAGAAGGGTACACTCATATCCTGGGGCCTGCTTCCTCGGTGGGGGTTTGGGTGCTGTGGGAAAGAAGCTGGGGAGAGAAAACGGCGAATTCTCAAGTGAGGCCGATGCTAATTCATCGGTTCTACTAGACTCAGAAAACGTGCTTGTGATTGAGTGTGCCCCTTGGTGCCTCTGATGACAGACATGCCTCTCCAACAGTCTGCAGGACTATAAAGGAGTTTGCACTGTGGGAAACAAGCTCTGCCCTGCCCAGCACAGCGCTTTAGCTGCCGCTTAAGGGAGTCGGTTCCCAGGAGGAAAGTGTCCGATTTGAAACAGTCAGGCTGGCTCCGGAGGCATTTTTTCCTTTTATGCACTAGCAGTAGGTAGTTTGTTTCTGCGTTTGTAGTTTTGAAAGTCTTCCCTCTGATGCCCCTTTCCTCTTCCTAATTCAGAGGTGACCCTTCTTAAAATAACATGTAATTTTTTTTTTTTAAATTGGGGTTTGAACCCGGGACTTCCCTGCTTAGCTATAGGCCCCAGCCCATGTATGTAAATTTTAATCATAGCTTTGTCGTCAGTACCCTGGGATCTCCAGAACATCTTGTTCAGCCTGCTCTTGTCTCACCAGCAGTCCTGGCTGGCATCCTTGCCTGGCAGGGTGGCCCACTACAGTTAGTGAGCTGTGCTGCTCAGGGCCCGCAGGTTGCTTCTAGCCCTTTGACCTTAGAGTGTTGTCCAAATGCCTCACTGTAGGCAGACTTTTGTTTCATGTTCTTAAAAACTATGTAAGCCCATTAATAGGTGTGTGTGTGTGTGTGTGTGTGTGTGTGTGTGTGTGTGTATGTGTTGTACTATCAATAGTCATTGTGTTAGATGTCAGAACTGAAAATGTTAAGCGGAAAACACTCAGCGGACACTCCATTTGCTGGCAGAGGGATTGGTCGCTCTATACCCAGCCCCAGGGCAGAGAAGCTCCACGGGCCCTTGGTTTGGAGTGAGACAGTTGACGTTATCACACGGTGTTAGGAAAAGGCAATCTTGGCGAGGTCACTCTTTGGGAGAAGAGTCTTCAGCCCATTCTCTGAGGGCCTCTGTCCCAGCTGGTGACCCTTCAGAAGTATTTTTCCAGGTAGCCAGGGCACCTGCGACTTTCTATCTCACTAGGAGTGACTGCCACATTGCCTCTCACTGATTCCTACTTTGACTTGGTGTCCCTGGGAGAGAGGGAATGGGTGATCCGGGCCATGTCGACGGTTGTTCTGCTGACCTGGCTGGTGTTTTGACCAATGTGTCTCTAGCTCTAGTCTCCTCACACATTGACTAGCAGTGAATGGAGAAGGTAAATGCCGGAAGGCTTGCTTCAGCGTTCTCCTCACGTTTTTACGGTCAGGCTTTGTTGGCCCTTGGTCCTGCTATAGATTCAGAATCAGATGTCATTTGGAGCTGGTTTCCTGCTTTGCTTAGTTTGCTCCCAAGTGGCCCTTTCCAGGCAGACGTGGTCTTGCAGAACTGGCAGTAAGTGTTAGTGGGGAGCAAGGGTCCCTAGTCAGCAGGTGTTCTTGAGCCTTCGGGTAGAGAGAGGCAAGTCAGGCTGCTGTGCGGGGAGAGACTCAGGCAGACAGCCTCTCCCTCCTGCCTCTTCGGGGTTGTCTTCGTTGCCAGGTTTTCCCCATCAGTGTGGAAGGGGCTGTAGTTCTGGCTTCCACAGATCTGCTCTGTCCTCCATAGCAGCCTTCATGAGGGCAGTCTCCACCTCACTCATGTCCTCAGGTTCTGCCCCATACTACTGCACTCTGAGACTCTTGGTGTCGGTACTAGGGTCCTGTCCTTGCAGTCAGCCCAAGAACATTCAAGTCACCTCAAAGGGAAGCCCTGTGCATTGGCTGTCACCCTCCATTGCTACTGCCCACTAACTGTATGTCTGCCGTCTGTGGATTCGTCTGTTCTGGAGGTTCCTGCTTCCTGGAAGTGGATCTGTGGAGCATGTAGTTTTTGTGTCTGGCTTTTTGTTGTTGTTGTTGTTGTTTGTTTGTTTTTTTAAAAACTTAGCGAGAAGTCATCAGGATTCTTCCTGTCATAGCATACATCACTGCCTCATTCCTTTCTGTGGATGGACAGCTGTTCATGTGTGCTTGTGTTGGTCCAGTGATCAGTTAGTGGGCATTTGGACTGTTTTTGCATCTTGGTTGTGAAAACTGTTGTGAACTCTGGTGTATATGTTCTTGCGCATGAGTGTTTTCAACTCTCAGGGTGTGTGTGGGCCTTGCAGAGGACTTGCTGAGTCCTGAAGAAACTGTGTCCTGCTGCTGGAGACAACAGGCTGGTTATACGTGGCTCTCCCATCTCTCTCTCTCTCTCTCTCTCTCTCTCCCCCCCCATATATATAGTATTACTATTTACTATATTACTATTCTAGGTTTGTGTTTTGCCTACTTGTACGTCTGTGTAGCACATATGTGCCTGGTGTCCACAGAGGTCAGAAGAGGGCTTTGGGTTCCCTGGGAGTGGAGTTACAGACAGTTCTGAGCTGTGAGGGTGCTAGGAATCACACTAAAGTCCTCTTCAAGAACAAGTGCTCTTAACCATTGAGCCAACTCTCCAGCTCCCTGCCTCCCTCCATTTCACATCCACCCTAGTGGTTCTTGGTTTCTCCACATCCTCCCCAGTACCTAACCCATTGCTCTTTTTTCCCCCCTAAGACTTGGTTTCTTGGAAATGCTGCTGCATTTGCTTCTCCTTTCCTACTTCTCAGGGTGGTATACCAGGTGAAGCCATACCTTCCCTGCCATGCTCATCTTCTGGTCCTTC